ATAATCTCTGTCCAGTTTTTGGATACATGTCCTCATTTTGTTATTTAGCCAACATGAGTTTTTTTGATGATGATGCAGGATGCAAAGGATCCTGAAACACTGGCAAATCTGGTGGTTTGCAATCTCCACCTTGGGAAACCATCTTCCCGCTACCTCAGGTTATTCTTATAAAATTAAGATGGCCAATATAATGTAGAGTAGTTTATGCTCATAAAAGTCCACATTGAATTACTTATGGTGTTAGAGTTAGTAGCACTTAGAAAATAAAATGCAAAAATATGATATAGTTTCTATAATGCACGTTTCTGTATAATGCATTGGTATCTAGTTAGGTTTACCAAAAAAGTGGAATAAAGCTTTTTTCCCCTCAAAGCAAAGTTGGTAAATTCCCAAGACCTAACGATGTATTTCATTCTACAATTTAAGGGATTCTTTTGCATTGAAAAGTTCTCAATTTTCAAATGTTGATTTGCCTCAACACATTAAAAGGGAAAATGTTTAGCGAATGGGTTAGAGAACAAATTGAAGCTCACTACGTGGGTTGGTACTTTGTTTGGTAATCAAACACTCTTAGGTTGGCTTTCATTGTGTGTAATATATTATGGTAGATACGACGTTTTACCAAAAATGAATTGGTCCAACAAAGATCACCCCCTATTTCTAAACTATTAAATAAACTCAGTAGCAACTAGGATCTAACTTGTATGTTCATACACTTGGGTCCAGTAAGGATTATTACAGAGTATATTTTTGGAAGCGTTCATGATTTGTGTGTGTGCATGTGAGTTATGTTAGGGTTAATAAACGAGTTTTGGGCTTTTGTAAACCTATTCAAGAAGCTTATGAGAATAAGATAAGCTGGGAAATGTTTTTAGGACCAGTTGAAATGGCAAACTGATACACAGGGACAGTGTGACATGTCATGACTATATTGAGAAAGCTTCTATTGATTGGCTTATTAGAAGTTATGAGTCTGAAAAATATTATGCAAAATATTTTACCTAGAAGCAAGACGCCCTCTGGTCTTCAATTATTTTTCGTGTTTTTGGCTATATCTGCACATGCTAAGCCCTGTTCGGGGTTGTTTTCTATATTCAGTTTCAATTTTGTATACAAGTAAGATCTTTTTTTATGTACACTCACCCTACCTAGGTCTTACTCGTAGGACCTTATTGTGTTGTTATTGTTGTGTAAGTATCCTTTGTTGCACTTAATCTTGCAGCCAGCTGAAATTGTCGCATCCAAACCACATGCTCGTGAAACGCTCATTGTCTGCAGAAGAAAATTTCGACAGAGCTGTGCAAACGATTGCTTGAGGGGATCCTCCACATGGTCTGGCCTTCAAAGTTTTACCGAAGCGGGGAGAGGCAAATACTAGCTATATATATCGGTACTTGAACCAAACGCCACCGCCGCCACCACCGCCACCACTGCTTGCATCATATTGTCTTTCCATCCACAACGGCTAAGAGAATGGTTTGTACTAAGACCTGCTGCTGTTTTATTATACACCATTGAACTTACTAGAGATATCTTATTGGATTTATATTATAGTTTGTTCAGCCACATCTTTTTTTCATTACATATCATTATCTTTCTTTTATTTAAAATACAATGAGTGAAGATAAGGTTACAATTAATTGAATTGGTTGAGTAATTTAAAAGCTATGCATTAGTTACTTTTTTACAGTGCTTGAAATGACTGAAATAAACACAATACTCCCTCATATGTTCCATTAAATGTCTCTTTTCCTGAACATGTATTTGTCCCAAAAAAGGGTCCACTCTGAATAACAGATTTTTTTCTTTGAATGTTTTTAAATTAAAAACAAGGTTAACTTGTGAGTGGGTGTTGTTAAATCCACTCCCATTTTGGTTAAATCTATTTCTTTTATGTTAGATAGCAATTTTGCCCTCAAAGTTTATATTTTGTTTTTTAAGGGTAAAAATTGTCGACTTAACATAAATAGAATAGATTTGTCCAAAATAGAAAGACCCTTGTATAGGACTTTTTATTTTGTGGCGGATGGGGTTTTCCAGGCTGGCACGATATGATCATCAATAACAGAACCTTATCTCGATTTGTGAGTTTTGGATTTTAGCTAAATATCATACTCCAAATATATTTATTTTTCTTAAGCTAAGATCTATACATATATAAATGGTTAAATTTTATTTTTTTCTTTTCCTATTTTCATTACTCATTTGTTAAAATAATATAATCATGTGATCTCTGGTTTAATACTCTGTGCTTCTTTTGTCCCAATTTAAATTGCCTAATAAAAATATGAAAGGGAAGTGAATAAAGTTGAATTTGTGAAATACTCTCTCCGTCCTAATTTATAACGCTTGTTTCGGTTCATGATTTTTGACTTGAATTATTTTCAAATCATTTTATATGACAAATGGTATAGAGTTAAAAATTAAAAATTATATATTAAAATACTACATCAAAAGATCTACAAAACTAGTAGTGACAATAGTATTTTAGTTTATCAAATTGTTAACGAAAATAGAGAAAAAAAGTGAATGGAGTTTGACTCTGTAAATAGTGAACAGACACCATAAATTGGGATGGAGGGAGTAATAAACATGGAATTTAATTTAGAATAAAGGTAGTAAATTTTTTTATGCAGTTTGTAAATATGTTCATTTTATTTTTTATTTCTATCCGAGTTTTAGATAGATTTTTATAAAACAAGGTACTGTCAAATATTATAAACTAAAGAGACGATTTAAATTGAGATGAAGAAAGTCTTGTATGTGGAGACAAAGGATGGACGCATGGATTATGCTCTTTTTCTTAGAAAAATGCTAGGGGTACACCTTTGGTGTACTCCATTTGTCTCTCACCCCCTCCTTGTCTACATAAATGGGCAATAAATTTTAAAAATAAAAAATAAAAATAAGTGATGGAAAGGGGGGTAATGTACATTTGGAGTACACCTTTGGTGTATCCCTTCTCTTCTGATGACTCACATCATAAATTGCTCTCCTCGTTCTTAAAAAATGTTACCGAGCACTTCGTCTCTCCCTAAAACATTATTATAGTTTTATTTTTTGATCAAATTGTAGCATCATTTAACCACGAATTAAATATAGTTTAAAATAATTAAATCTTATTAAAATTCGATATTTTAAAATTAAATTTTAAAATAAACACAGTTTTACTAAATTTACATTATAATTAAATATACGTTTTCCATAATTTACAGTCAAAGGGTGCCACAATTTGACCAAAAAAGTCAAACTGTGGCAATCTTTTAGGGATGGAGAGAGTATTGGATAATACTGAATTTAGAGTTCTACGTCCTCCATCTCATTTTAAATTGTCTGTTTCGGTTTATGATGTTTGACTAAAATTATTTCAATACAACTTAATTGAGGATTTAAATAGAATTTAGAAATAAAATTTTCATATTATAAGCTGTATCAAAAGCTCTACGAAAATAGAAAAAATGAGTGAAATTTGACCTTGTAAATAAAAATTATTCAACTTAATTTGATATGATTTCGCAACTTTTAAAAGTTTGAGGAGTACTTACCCACGCATGAAAGACCATACTTTAGTTCAATACCACTTTACATATAAAAATAATTTTTTAAAAAAATGAGATTTTTCACATTCTTCGAAACAGGAATAAAGATATGAGACACAATTGAATAAGTATAACATTTCATCTTGTTGAAAAATGCCATCTAATAATAATTTTTAGCATGGACAACTTTACAACTAGTGTTTACAATAAAAAACTTACTTCTTTCGTCAATAATTTTTCTTCCTACTTTTTTACTTGTCCCTCCATAAATTTTTCCCCCATTTTTTAGCAATTTTTTTAAAAGTCTGAGGGGCAAATCGACCATATATAGAGACCATACACCTCTTAAGAAGGTTGACGAAAGAGTGTAGGGCTAAGAAGAAGAATTTCTATGGCCGGTGTTTATTGATCTTGAGAAGGCATATCATAGAGTGCCAATGGAGGTCCTGTGGAGGTGTCTTAAGTTGAAGGGAGTTTCGATCGCTTACATTCAAGCGCCCAAGGATATGTACAGTGGGACAAGGATTAAGGTAAAGACTGCCAGTGGTGATTTTTAGCCTTTCTCTGTAGAGGTAGGGTTAGCCCTTTCTTGTTCGCTTTGGTGATAAACGTCTTGTCGCATGGCGTTCAATGAGAGGTATCGTGGCGCATGTTTTTTGCTGATGATATTGTGCTTATTGGCGATACCCGAGAGGGACTAAAAGACAAGTTGAAACTCTGGCGCCTTTCATTAGAATCCAAAGGACTTAGACTAAGTAGGACTAATTAGACTGAATACATGGAATGTTTTTCAGTGGTTAGGAGACAAACCCAAGAGTGGAAGTTAGGATTGATTCGCACCCAGTTTCCAAGGTTGATAGGTTTTGACATCTTGTCTCGATCATTTAGCGAGGTAGGGAGTCAAATGGAGATGTTGCACATCGTGTGAAAGTGGCTTGGGCAAATTAGAGGCTGGCTTCAGGAGTTCTGTGAGATAAGAAGATTCTAGCTAGGATAAAAGGTAAGTTTTACCGCTCTTAGTTAGGCTAGCTATGCTATATGAGGCAGTGTTGGGTGGTTAAGAATACCCACATTCATGGATTACTTGCTGCAGAGATGCGAATGTTACGGTAGATGTGTGGACACGAGATTGGATAGGTTTTGGAACGAGGTATCCGAGGTCGAGTAGGCATGAAACCTGTGGAAGATCAGCTACAAAAAGCGAGATTGAGGTGGTTTGGGCATGTGAAGCGGCGAGATGCTGATACCTGAGTGCAGAGATGCAAGAGGCTTACATTGGTTGGTGGGAGTACACTTCATTTTAGTTTTTGTTTTCAATTAACCAAGATAAGTATGGAAGGTCAAACGAGGAGTTAATTTTTGGAGTTAGAGAGTATTTATAATGATAATGCCAAATTGCTAATGACAAATTTACCCTCATCAAACGATATCTTGAAAGGATAACCAAACGAAGCTGAACCACCCACATCAAACCTCAACCCCATCATCATCACCTCTCTGGCTCTCTCTATATATTCCAACATTTCAAACTTTTCCCTTCCTCTTCATCATCCATTCTCTAACCAACCAGACAACAGAAGAGGAAGAACGATCAGCACGGTGATGGCGGGGCACTACGACGTGGCGGAGGGGGTGGACATCCGGGGCAGGTTCGATCCCCGGTTCGCCGAGATCCTGAGCAGAGACGCTCTCGGCTTTGTGGCGGATCTTCACCGGCGGTTCCGGGACCGCATCAAGTACGCCATGAGTTGCAGGGAGGGCGACAAGGCGCGGTACAACTCCGGCGGCCTCCCCGGGTTTGATCCCGCCACTAGACACGTGAGGGAAGGAGAGTGGGTGTGCGCTCCCGTCCCCCCTGCGGTGGCGGACCGGAGGGTGGAGATCACCGGCCCCGTCGAACGGAAAATGATCATTAATGCCCTCAACTCCCGAGCTAAAGTTTTCATGGTATGTAGTCATGTAGATATCATTAAACACAATAAAATTGATATTATTCATAAGATCAAACTTTATATTTTATGTTTGTATATTTTTATTTTTTATTTGATAAAATAAAATAATCATGTCACATTTAGTTTTGTAGATCCTTTGATTTAGTGTTTAATATAAAAATTTTATTTTTTATTTTTATACGTATAACAAAAAAATTAAATTAAAAATAAAGTTGGTCAAATATCATAAATGGAACCAGAAAATTCAATTGGGATGGAGAGAGTAAGTTCTGAACAAAAGTTTTGTAGACCGAACCCGAAACAATACGCTAAAAAATGGTTCAAACCCGTTTCAACCCGAATTGATTGAACCTCTAATATGAGATTTTTTTTCGAAATCATGTACTTTAAAATGAGAAATAATTTTTTTTGCTGCTTGAAGATTTATTTTCATTGGGGGCAAAATACGTAGTATTTTTTGGGGTAATATTAGTTTTAAGCACAATATAAATGTATTAATTAGATAAAATAAATTTTTTATTGGAGCAGGTACTCTCATTGACAATAAAGTCAATCCGCCCTTGGATACGATTGATAAGTAATTAAGTACCGTGATAGAACAAAAACATGTCAATTTGGAATTGATAGTGTCAAAAATGAATTGAAATTAGAAAATTCAGTTCCATCCAATCAATTCTAGAGAATTTTAACTTTTAATTTAATTTTAATTCTATCAATTCTATATACCAAACAGACCCTAAATGAATGTGGACATAAAATATGTATACATTTATTTATTTTTAAGAAGCCATCAATTTTTTAATTGAAATATAATAGTTACATGAAATTGACCAATATAATATGATATCATGCTTAATGTTAAAAAAATTGCACTCATATTTGTATTAGACTAATGGTAATGTTACATCATTTTTTGTTATAACAGTCATTATCTCTTGCTCAAAATTGATTGTAGGATTACAAAAATCAACCCTGTAAAATTTCACAACGATCCAACAGTCGGTTTATTGAGAATCGTGATAAATTTTAAAACATTGAGTAAATATTCAAAATGATCCTTTCTAATAAGTTTTCTGTTTTCCCATGCTCTCGATAAATTTTAATTACATACACGGTTACTCAAATGATCATTAATTGATCAGTTAGATTTAGAATAAGTTCTTAAAATGATCGTTTCTAATTAAAGATGTGTAATTGATTTGAATTTTAAAGGATTTTTTGATAGGTTTTTAATAATGAAATTTGCACTAAATATGACTAAAACATAATGACTTTCCTAATTTAGGACTTAAACTTTTTTATTTCCTAAATATGATTTAATAATGTCTTAGTGAAGGAATAATGTCCAGTAATGATGAACATTTACTTGAATAATGACTAATTAATACGGAGTAATGACCAAAACTCTTACATTGGGAAATAAAAACATATGGTACTATATTGGGAAAGTCATTATGTTTTAGTTTTATTTAGGTAGATTACTCTTTTTAATACTTAATGGGTTATACATAATCAATGTATTATTTTAATTTTACATTTAATTATATAGAAGGACCATTTTGAGGATATATACCATTTTGAGGATATCATTTAATTAATCATCATTTGAGTAATATTATTTACGAAGGACGACCTAAGAAATAAATCTACTACGTAGATAATTAGAACTTATTGAGGACTGAATTAGGAAAATACATTATTATAAATGACTATTTTAGAAATTTACTCTAAAATATTATGAGGGTGTTTGGCAGTACGCTGCTTTTAGTAATTTAGCTTCTGCTTTGAGTGGAAGTGATTTTATTCTGTTTTGCATGTCAGCTTCTGCTTTTCACCACCACTATTTTATACACAGAACACCGTTTTGGAGAAGCAAGTATGAGGTGCTTTTGCTTTCAGCTTTTGTGAAAATCACTTTATCCAGAAGTTAATCACTTCCAAACAAGCTCTATATTACGTTGATTTTAAAACTTATGATTCACAAGAAACTAGTTGTATAATTGCTTTGAAATTTTGCGGGGTGATCAATTTGAGTTGAAAAATTGAATGGGGTAATAAAATACAAGTATAACAAATAATTAACGAAAATTAGTAAGGAAAGAAAAAACGTTTCATCTTGAATAGTAGAAAACAACTTATAAATATGGGATTTATGAAGAGAATATTTTTATACAAGAAAAGGGTTTCTGATTCGTTTTAAAATGTTTGATTAAAACTATTTTCTGATTAATTTATTTGAAAATAGCATAACATAAACAAATACGGAGTAACATTTATATTTATACGATGTCACAAGTTGCAATAATTAGACGTTTTTTTATCAAACTAAAATTGTTTTTGGTTTTGATGGTGTTTTAGGCTGATTTTGAAGATGCATTGTCACCAAGCTGGGAGAATCTGATGAGAGGTCAAGTCAATCTCAGGGACGCCATTAATGGGACCATCACCTTCCATGACCAAGCCAGGAACAGAACCTACCAGCTCAACAGCCATGGCATTGCCAAGCTCTTCGTCCGCCCCAGAGGATGGCACCTCCCCGAGTCTCACATCTTCATCGACGGCCACCCTGCCATCGCCCCCCTCGTCGATTTCGGCCTCTACTTCTTCCACAACGCCGCCGCCTTCCGCCGCAACCACGGCCAAGGCTACGGCCCTTTTTTCTACCTCCCTAAGATGGAACACTCCAGGTAATATGTTTTTGCCGAAGTAAGCGGTTGGATTCAATCTTTTAATTCATGCACGCGATTTGGGTGTACAGGGAGGCAGGAATATGGAACAACGTGTTTGAGAGGGCGGAGGAGTGGAGCGGAGCGGAGAAGGGGACCATCAGGGCCACGGTCCTCATTGAAACGCTCCCCGCAGCTTTTCAGATGGACGAGATCTTATATGAATTGAGATACCACTCGCTCGGTCTCAACTGCGGACGGTGGGATTATATTTTCAGCTACGTCAAGACATTCCAGGCTCACCCGGACCGCTTGCTCCCCGACCGGGTTCAAGTCGGGATGACCCAACACTTCATGACCAGCTACTCCCACTTGCTCATTCGCACCTGCCATAGGCGCGGCGTGCACGCTATGGGCGGCATGGTAAGATTTTGAATGGAACTAGTTAATCGATTAGATTCAATCTTTTTAGTTTGGTCTTATTCTAACTTTATCTTGACGGATGATTGATGGGACAGGCGGCTCAGATTCCAATCCGAGATGATCCGGTGGCGAATGAGGCGGCATTTGAGCTGGTGAGGAAGGACAAGGAGAGGGAGGTGAAAGCGGGGCACGACGGGACATGGGCGGCACATCCAGGGCTAATCCCGACGTGCATGCAAGCCTTCACGGACCACATGGGAAACGGCGTCCCGAACCAGATCGAGACGGTGAAACGGGAAGACGCGACAGCTGTGGCGGAGGAGGACCTCCTGCAGATCCCCCGGGGCGTTCGGACCATGGAAGGCCTGAGGCTGAACACCCGAGTGGGGATCCAGTACCTGGCGGCGTGGCTGGGCGAGACAGGGTCTGTCCCGCTCTACAACCTGATGGAGGACGCGGCGACCGTGGAGATCAGCCGCGTCCAAAACTGGCAATGGCTGAGGTACGCGGCGGAGCTTGACGGGGACGGGGCCGGGGTGAGGGTGACAAGGGAGGTGTTTGGGAGGGTGGTGGAGGAGGAGATGGGGAGGATTGAGGGGGAAGTTGGGAAGGAAAAGTTCAAACAAGGAAAGTACAAGGAGGCATGCAAGATGTTCACCAAGCAATGCACGGCTGAACTTCTCCATGATTTTCTAACATTGGATGCCTATAATCACATTGTGGTCCATCATCCCATTGCTAAGCCCCCTTCCGGCGGCCGCCTATGACCAAATTGTCCTTATGTTTTTGAACATATAAATAAATAAATAAATAAATAAAATGTGAGGTTGATAAAAAGTAATACTCCCTCCGTCTCGAAATAGATTACAATATTCTCTTACATTTTTGTCCCAAAAAGAATTACAAAATCAATAACTTTACAAGGAATTGACTCTTTTACCCTCCCACTCCTACACTATTCACACATTATTCATCCATGTGAGTGAGAAGGATACTTGGTGGATTTGGGGGTAATTTGGGAAAAAAATTGATTTGACTCTTTCTTAATTTCAATAAAAAGGAAATATGTTGGGCCGTGTTCCTTGGACCACACGACAAGAAGGAAAGCAAATCCCGTTCTAAGTGGGATTGCTCTTGATTTGTTTCCTAGTTCATATTTAGTGATTTGTTTCCATGTAGGAGTAGAATTCCTTTTGTGTTTTGGTCTTTTTCCTCTCCTATAAATAAAGGAGAAACCCCTTGTAATTGGAAGAACAATTCAATATATAAACTATTTTCTCTCTTATTAATTTCTACATGGTATCGGAGCCAAGTTCCTAGGGAAAACCCTAATCTAGACAAACGACGGTCCATCGCTGTCCTCCGCCGGTTCAAGCCTGTCTTCCGCCGGATTACCGACCTCGACCGCCGAACTATCCTCCTCGACCGTCGACATGGCAGAAGTAGAAGAAAATCTCGTCGGCAAGCTCTTCGATGAGGAAGAGAAGATCCCTACGAAGGGAAATTCTTACGAACTCAAGAACGCAGACACACCTGGATTAATTATCACCCAAGTCAAACTAAACGGTGATAATTATGAAGAATGGGCTCGTGCAATGAGAATTGCATTCCGTGCAAAACGGAAAATTGGATTCATCGACGGATCCATCCCTTGTCCAGAAGAGGGAGATGAAAAC